AAAAAGAGAAACAGCGAGAAGGAAGGAGGGTGACGAAGGGGAGGAAGAGAGTGAAGGTTGGTGAGAGAGAAGGAGCCGGCAGCCATAGCTGACCGGAGGGTTGACCAAGCGTTGACCAGAGGGTTGACCGGGCGTTGACTGGAGGGTTGACCGGGGTGTTGACCGAGGGTTGTCTGCGTTGACTCAGCGCTGACCAAGGCGTTGACCGGAGCTGTTGACCAAGACTTTGACCAAGCTGGAGTTGGTAACATCTCGCCAAGCCCTTAGCCTATCCCCTCGCCCTATGGATGTGCACTCACCCTGCGGTACTTGCTGAGTCTGAGCCTGTCTGTCTCTTCTTTCTGCATTGAGTCTTTTCTGTCCTAAGTGGTAGTACTCTGTGGATGGAGGATAGGGCCTGGATGACGAAACCCCTACCTGACCTTGTAGAGCTAATAACGTGTCTAATCTCACTGTCCCGGAGGCCTAACCCTCCCAAGGACCGGTGCTAACCGGCGGGGCTCGGATTGGGCGTGACACGGTGGGCTTGAACGGTGGAGTTGTGGGCTGACACACCAGGCAGTCTTAAGTGTTGAGGGCCTTGTTGACCCAAACCCCTACCGGACCTAGTAAGGCTAAAGACTGTCTGACGACTCGACTGTCCCGGAGGACACGAACCCTCCCAAGGACCGGTACAGACCGGCGGGCTGCTCAGTGTGGCACGGTAGGCCCAAAAGGCTGAGTTGCGGGATGTGCAACAGGCAGAACCAAGCTGCTCATGTCGTCCTGACTGCGACGTTAAAGAATTCCAGAGGAGTTACGGGGGATCTCCTTAAATGCCTCCTCATCAGCCACTGGCTCAGTAGTGACAGCCATAGTGTAGGTCTAGGCTAGCGATCATAGCTGACAGGGTTCTATACGAATCATGTGGTCCTTAGAAAGTCTGTCAATGAGTTCTGCGGGTAGGTCTACGTGGTGAGGAGTGGGACTGTTCTGTCGTGCACCTATCACCATGGATGATTACCCGATGTATCGGTTGCTCGTGGGGTTCTCCCTTTGGGGGACCCTTTGGCGTTTCATTTTCCCATTGGGATTCGGGAACACGTTTTCGTGTAGGGTAGAGACACGTACGGGAACGGGTACCTCGCCCTACACGGCCAAGCAGGAAGCAAAGCCCGCCGCCATCCACAAAGAGAGGAGAGAAAAGAAGGAGGCCAAGAAGAAGGCCTTACTGGAGGCGCAGGCAGCGAAGTTGAAGAAGATTGAGGAGGAGATGGCTAGGGAGAAAGAGACGCTGAAGAAAGAAGAACAAGCGAAATTAAAGGAAGTGGAAGAAGAAGAAGAAGAAGAAGTAGAAGAGGAGCCACTGGAGAGAGGAAGAAAAGGAAACAGAGGGGAGTCCAGTGAGACAAAGGAGGACTTGATGGAGAAGAAGATTTCAGAGTGGGTTGCAGGACTGACCCTGGGAGAGGATGAGGAGGCGTTAATGTATGTACCCAGGGACGAGCAGGAGGCGGCCGTGCGAGAGTGGGAAGCTGAAAGAGACCCACTCAAGCGGCAAGTGCTAGAAGATGAGAAGAGGATGGAGTGGAAGTTCCGCCTCACTAGGGAGAGGAAGAGGAGAATGGAGGCGGCAACGGAGGTGGCACAAGAGTTGGAGGAGATTAGGAAGCAGAGGGATCAGATGGCGGTCCAAGTAGACTTATTGGGGAAGGTAGAGATCCTAGCCAAGAACGTGGAACGTCTGGCAAAGGTCCAGGAGGAGCAGCTTTTATTTGGTAGAGGCCAGAACATTGCCGTGCGTTCAATACGGTCGGGACTTAGGGACTTTGCTCGGGAGTTAGCCATGCAAGTGGGCTCGCATGTGACAGCCCGCCTCGAGGGCACTGAACGATACTGTGTTGGTGCCATTGAGGGCGCCAAGCTGATTGCCCCAAAGGAAGAAGAAGCACGCCCCCGTAGAGAGCCGGTCAAGGTTAAGTTTCCGGATTCCTACAGTGGAAAGAAGGGAGAGAACTTTGACAATTGGGAGGCCAACGTTAAAACGTACGTGCACCTGCAGAAGGTGTCCCCCGATGAGCAGGTCCTAATCGCCATCCATGCGTTAAAGGAAGAAGCCGCCAATTTTGCACGCCCCTTAGTCCGCGCTGCTAATTGCAGCGACGATGTGGTTGCCTACTCTGCCTTCACCCCCCTCGCTGACTTTCTTAAGTTGCTGCGCAAACGATTTGCAGATGTCTCGCGCAGTGTCAGAGCCTCTGATCGATTGCAGACTATCCACTCTCATCAGTGGAGGAGTGCCAAGGCACTCAAGGGAGTAATGGACGAGCTAGTGGTTGTTCCTGACCATGGGGCCACAAAGACCCAACTGGTCAACCTCTTCTATCGAGCTATGCCCGAGTCGTTGCGTGGGCACTTCTTTGAGAAGAGCCAACAACCGACCATGACCTACGACGCACTGAGCAGGGAATTGGTGGCGTTTGAAGCGAAGTCTGTGTCAGTCTCCACTTTCTGGCACAAGGACTTGGATAAGGGAAAAAAGTGGAAGGGTCTCTGGACAGGTTAAGACTAAGGATCGTTTGATCCTTACCTTAGATGAGGGTAGTGTCGACGAAGTCCCCTACGACCAGATAGAGTGGGGGCTAGAGGAAGATGACAGTAGCAATAGTCAAGGGAGGACCTACGCTGCTGTCGCGGCTGGAGGGAGGCTGCAAGGAGGAGGATGGGGCCAGGGCCAAGGGGGTCGGGCCTCAGGGAACCGTTTCCAGGGCGATCAGGGGGTTGGCGGCTATGGATCCCCCTCAGCGGCGGCCATCCGCGGCCGAATCCGCGGACGCGTCCGCGCGTCCGCGCGGCTTTGAAGCCACGTGGCGGCCGCGCGGGAGCGACTTTCAAAAAATGGGAGACGCCACGTGGCGGCGCATCCCCGGTCCCACCCCCCCCCAAAAAAAAAAACCGAAAAAGATCAACTTTTGGATGGGGGGGTATGGGCGAAATCGAAAGAAATTGAAAAAATAACAAAAAACGCGTTTTTTTTTTTTTTTTTT